GATGCCACCTTTCCAACAAGTCAGTTTGTCAAATATTCTGCCCTTCTAGAGCTGCCCCGGTCAACTGTAAGTGTTGTTATTGTGAATTGGAAATGTCTAGGAGCAACAACGGCTCAGCCGCGAAGTGGTAGGCCACACAAGCTCACAGAACTGGACTGTGCTGAAGTGCGTAGCGCGTAAAAATCAGCTGTTCTCATTTGCAACACTCTCTACCGAGTTCCAAACTGCCTCTGGAAGCAATGTCAGCACAATAACTGTTCGTCGGGAGCTTCATGAAATGGGTTTCCATGGCCGAGCAGCCGCACACAAGCCTAAGATCACCCTGCGCAATGCCAAGCGTTGGCTGGAGTGGTATAAAGCACATCGCCATTGGACTCTGGAGCAGTGGAAACATGTTCTCTGGAGTGATGAATCACGCTTCACCATCTGGCAGTCCGACGGACTAATCTGGGTTTGGCGAATGCCAGGAGAACGCTACATGCCCCAATGCATAGCGCCAACTGTAAAGTTTGGTGGAGGAGGAATAATGGTCTGGGGCTGTTTTTCATGGTTCGGGCTAGGCCCCTTAGTTCCAGTGAAGGGAAATCTTAACGCTACAGCATACAATGACATTCTAGACGATTCTGTGCTTCCAACTTTGTGGCAACAGTTTGGGGAAGGCCCTTTCCTGTTTCAGCATGACAATGCCCCCGTGCACAAAGCGAGGTCCATACAGAAATTGTTTGTCGAGATCGGTGTGGAAGAACCTGACTGGCCTGCACAAAGCCCTGAACTCAACCCCATCAAACACCTTTGGGATGAATTGGAACGCTGACCTCACTAATGCTCTTGTGGCTGAATGGAAGCAAGTCCCCGCAGCAATGTTCCAACATCTAGTGGAAAGCCTTCCCAGAAGAGTGGAGGCTGTTATAGCAACAAAGGGGGGACCAACTCCATATTAATGCCCATGATTTTGGAATGAGATGTTTGACGAACATGTGTCCACATACTTTTGGTCATGTAGTGTATTTTACAGAGTGTTTTTTTGTTGCATACATTTTAAAGTGAAAAGAAATTAGTCAAAGCGTAATCCTGTTATCGTGGATTCCCCAGAGTACACACACAGGCACACAGTTGCATTGCGCACATGCACAGACATGTATGCACAAACACACAGGCACACATGCGTACACTGACACATACACAGTACACAAACACATGCACACACATAGAGAAGAGCACTGGAGCACTGCTCCTTGCTCTAGAGCTCTACACTACAGCACTGTGCCCAGAGGCTGTCAGGGGATATTGAAGTAGAAATGGCAGACGAAGAGCTGAGAGAGCGGGGGAAGAGGGTGTGGGGGTGAAATGCTCTTCGAAAAGCTCATTACATTGGAAGGAGAATTGTTTGTCTACCATAATGGGTTTTATAGTTTTTGTATTGTTTTAGTCGTTTGTGTTTGTTCGTGTGTGTGTGGTTCGTGTGTGTGGTTATAATAATAATAATATAATAAAATGCCATTTAGCAGACGCTTTTATCCAAAGCGACTTACAGTCATGCGTGCATACATTTTTTGTGTATGGGTGGTCCCGGGGATCGAACCCACTACCTTGGCGTTACAAGCGCCGTGCTCTACCAGCTGAGCTACAGAGGACCTTTTGGTTCGTGTGTGGTTTGTGTGTGTGTTGGTTCGTGTGTGTGTTTGTTCGTGTGTGTGTGGTTTGTGTGTGTGTGATTCGCGTGTGTTATAATGTACTAGATGTACTCATTTATCTTCTCATTGATAGTCGGCTTGTTATCACTCTACACATAATATCATTTGGTTCTTGTGCTTCTTGCCAGCTGGGACATGGCCCCTTTCCCTGGCACTCCTGTGGTAGGTAATAGATATATGGATGCACCTGTCTGCACTTGCACCTGCTGCAGTGAGCCAAAATGTCTTCCGGGTATCCATAGTCCATTCCCTCAGATAGAAATGTAGTTGTAAACCATATAACGGAACCAAAAGGAACGGAAACTTCATACCCTTGGCTCAAAGTCACACTGTGATAGGCCCAGCTGATAGGTGATATGTGGTGGGTGAGCAGTCTGGCGCTCACAAGGCTGCCGTGCGTCACCTATGCAGATGAGATGCTACACATTGGTAGGGAAGGAGGTGACCCACCTTTAACTTTAAATGGCAGAGCCCTCCGAAAACTGCTACATTAATCCAATCCATCAGCAGCTTCCCAGTCAGGTATCAACGGGCCTTTCCCTATGATGTAAATGCAGTCATAACCCACATAATGAAACAAGCAAGACAGGACACCTCCCTTCCACATACTGAAGCCACAGACGTTATGGTGACTCATGCCTTTCTGCCTACCTACAGTGGTATGGAAGCTATATTGACAAACCATTAGTCAGACCATGAACTGTAGCCTTGTACCACATAATGCTGTAACAAGTGACGAAACTCCCTCGACTTCCACTCCCACACTAAACCAGGAAATCTCTGTATTTATCGTATGTCTTGACCCAGAGGTATTCAGATCCGGGTCTGCAACATTGCGCTGATGATTTCTATCCTTCCCCTCTAATCAGGTACTGATTCAGACCTGGGACCTTGGGTGAATGGCCAATCAATGACATTAAACAATTAGTTAACGATCAGAGAGAGAAGTAAGAGAAACAGAACTGAAGAGAACAAAGAAGAGGAGACGAGGGAAGCAACGGTACCGTAGACCTCAAGAACCGGATTTGAAAGGCTTTGTCCTAACCCTTTATCGGTTGAGTGCAGAGTGCGATGCTTCTGGTTAGAGGCTGAGGTTTAGACCTTCCTGGACATTGTATTTGCTCAGGGCAGAGACAACTTCAGAGAGGATGTTACAGATGTAGGATTTTAATTTGAGCCAGTTTGCTACAGCAGGAAAATTATCCTGCAGCTATAGGAAATGTGAATTATTATGTGGATTATAATTAATGTACATTTTTGTAGGGGTTGATTTAGATTTTTGTATGGAAAATTGTCAGAAATTTCAAAGTGGAAATTACAAACTTTAGAAGCTACTTTAAACCTCAAATACACTACAAGTGTTACATTTCCTGCATTTCAGGAAAGTTCTCCTGAAACAGGGTGATCAAGTTAAGATCCTACATCTGTAGTGTGTGTAGCTGTGTACTGAAGGAGGGCTCCCACTCCCACACAATACCATAGCTGCTGCTCTAACAACAGTCTGGCGTAAAGAGACAGAGACTATAGACACAGTAATGCACCACAATACCAGAATGAATGGCACCAAGTCAAATCAAATAAAAACATGTATTGAGTCAATAGACATTGTTGTTCAAGGCTGCTAACATGAGTCACCTCTCACACGCCACAGATCAAAGTGTTTTGGTCGTGTATGCAGATCGTGTATTTAGCAGATGTTAACACGGGTGTAGCGAAATGCTCCTAGCTTCAACAGTACAGTTATACCTGACAATACAAAACAATACACGTTAATCCAAAAAATCTAAAAAAGGGATTTAGAAATATAGAAATATTAGAACGAGCAATGTCATCGTCCGGAATATAAATATATATGTACTGTATATAATGGTGTGTATACTATAGACAGTATGGGCAGTATATGAATAGAACATGTGTGGACAGCAGTAATTATATAGGATAGGCCTTGACTAGAATACAGTATATACATAGGAATTGAGTAAAACAGCATGTAAACATTATTAAAGTGTACATAGGGCAACAGTCTCTAAGGTGCAGGGTTGCGTACAGGGTGGTAGCCGGCTAGAACAGTGACTAAGGTTCAGGGCAGGGTACTGGGTGGAGACCGCCTAGTGGTGACTGTTTAACAGTCTGATGGCCTGGAGATAGAAGCTGTTTTTCAGTCTCTCGGTCCCAGCTTTTATGCACCTGCACTGTCTCCGCCTTCTAGATGGTAGCGGGGTGAACAGGCTGTGGCTCGGGTGGCTGAGGTCCTTGATGATCTTCTTTGCCTTCCTGTGACACCAGGTGCTGTAGATATCCTGGAGTGCAGGCAGTGTGCTGCCGGTGATGCGTTGGGCTGACCGCACCACCCTCTGGAGAGCCCTGCCGTTGAGGGCGGTGCAGTTGCCGTACCAGACGGTGATACAGCCCGACAGGATTCTCTCAATAGTGCATTGTAGAAGTTCGTGAGGGTCTTAAGGGCCAAGCAGAATTTCTTCAGCCTCCTGAGGTCGAAGAGGTGCTGTTGCGCCTTCTTCACCACACTATCTGTGTGGATGGACCATTTCAGGTTGTCCTGCACGCTGAGGAACTTGAAGCTTTTTACCCTCTCCACTGCGGCCACATCGCTGTGGATGGGGGTGTGCTCCTACCTTGTGTTGTTTACATTGCAGGTAAAGTGTAACTACAGGTTACATAAGACGAGGACCTTAGAGACATATACTGTGTGTGTATATGTGTATGTGTGTGTTGTGAAGTCTGAGCATAAACTCACACAGAGCAGAGCGTGTAATGACGATTGTATTTGCTTCTGTTCCCTCTGAGTCAGAGAGAAACAAAGGCACAGTGCTACCCAAGTCCTACCGCAAAAGGGTGTGCACAGACTGCACACACAACAGTGCACGTACAGACACACATACACACACACACACCTTGTTTCCGCGTCATTTCAACAAAACAATTCAATGTGATGATGTTGAATCAACGTGGAAAACTGATTGGATTTGCAAAACGTCATCAACGTAAGGGAATTTCATATATATATTTTTTAACCTAAATCCAATGTCATGGTGACATTTTGGGGTGATTTCACATTTAATTCACCTTAGTTGACAACTCAACCTAATGTAAATCCAAAAACAGACGTTGAACTGACGTCTGTGCCAGGTGTGACACACACATACACTCTCACTTATCCACAAAGTTGGAATGCACTCACATTTACATAAACAAGACTTTCCAGACTTAATCTTGGTGGAAAACATTTGAAGCAGGAAATGCTAGCTCATGTTGTAGAGTAGACTGTGAAGTGTGTATGTTCTCAGAATGCAGGACTCTGGAGAAATGCTTCAGTGCAGTGTGCTGTTTGATACTCAGATCGACTCAAACCAAAGGTAAACCTTGTTGATGTTCACTGTCTGTCGCTTAACCAAACAGCCATTTAGTGTCTCTGGCTGTTGATTCATCTGTCAGTTGTTGTGGAGGAGCAGCACAGCACCACTTGATATGCTAATCACAAACACCCCAGTGTCTCCTGGGCTGAGACAGAGGTGGCTGTGCCTCTTCATTAGCTTCTGGTTTATGTAAAGAGGGGGAGTGGAGAGGGGAGGAGTGAGAGAAGACAGGATGAAATAGACAGGTATAAATGGAGGGATGGATGGCGTGTGTTCTTCCATACAGGACCATTGACACACACCCTTCTCTTTTCACTCCCTCTCCTCTCACTTTCATCTCATCTCTCACTCCAATAACAAATCTAACAATACAAAACAATACATGCAAATGTATTTAATTTTTTATTTATTTAACCTTTATTTAACTAGGCAAGTCGGTTAAGAACAAATTCTTATTTACAATGACGGCCTACTTGTAAAGCCCCCCCCCCGCCGACAAACCCTCCCCTAACCCGGTCGACGCTGGGTCAATTGTGCGCCGCCCTATGCGTCACTACAGACCCGGGATTGAACCCGGGTCTGTAGTGACGCGTCTAGCACTGTGATGCAGTGCCTTAGACCGCTGCGCACAATTGACCGCTGCGCAAATCTAAAAAAATAAAAAGAAAGGTGCAGTTGCCATACCAGGCGGTGGTACAGCCCGACAGGATGCTCTCAACTGCGTGGCCACGCAGTCATGGGTGAACAGGGAGTACAGGAGGGGGCTGAGTACGCACCCTTGTGGGGCCCCCGTGTTAAGGATCAGCGTAGCGGAGGTGTTGTTGCCTACCTTCACCACCTGGGGTCGGCCTGTCAGGAAGTCCTCCTTCTCCCTCTCACAGACAAACACACGCACACACACACACACACACGCACACACACACATATACACACACACACACACACACAAAGTGAACCCACTCTCTTCCTACACACCTAGCACACACACACACACAGTGAACCCACTCACTCTACACACCTAGCATACACACACACACACACACAGTGAACCCACTCACTCTACACACACCTAGCACACACACAGTGGATGTGTGTTGATTTGTTTTCATAATGTGATTTAAGTGTTTTCACACGGTACAAATAATAAACAACCAGGGAGCTTGTCTAGATAAATCACTAGCAGACACTTATTGGTGTTTATGCCTCTGGTGAGGCAATGCATCACTGCTGTCTCTATGATGACTTCATCTGTAAATGTGCTTCTATTATGCTCATGTCTCATTTGCATAAAGGCATACATCATTTTTGGGCATCAGAAACCCCAGTCTTTCACACCTGTGCAATCATGTTTAGTCTTGCTTGATATGATACCATGTCCATTTTGCTTCTATTTCCATGGTCTTCACAGACAGAAGACCTACGTTTTCTAACCTCTCCCTCACTTGCTCTCTTCCTTTCTCCTTGTCCTTGTTTTGTTCCCCACTTTATCTCTCCTCCCATTCCTTTCAGTCTGTCTGCCCCCTGATTCATTCCTCTTCTTCTATCTCAATCACTCTCTGTCCTTCCGCCTCTTCTCTGACCTGTCTCTCCTGTGTTATTTTAGCCCTCTATCACCCTCTCTTGCTCTCTGTGTCAGCCACTTCAAAAGCTGAATCATAATTACAGAATGAACCGATGTCACTTCAGTCCTTATTATTCCCGGTGTTATTCAGATTATTCTCCGGTGTTATTCAGATTATTTTCCGGTGTTATTCAGATTATTCTCCAGTGTTATTCAGAGAACGATCAAAGCGGAACATCTGAAAACAAAACCATTACATTGTATTTATTTCCGTTTCTCTCTCACTCCAGTAGGGTAGGGTGCATATAGATTAGACAATTAACTATTGATCAAGGCTGCTAAAACATATTGGGAAATCACTCATATTCTTCTAAACCACAGATAGCACAGCTGGTGTATAGACAAAAATGTTTGTGTACTTTTGCTTTTAGAACTAATCAAAGAAGACCATCCAGTGTGTATGTGTGTGTGTGTCTTTGAAATAACAGTGTAACAGTGTTGCTCCCGTCCCTCTCCTCGCCCCTACCTGGGCTTGAACCAGGGACCCTCTGCACACATCGACAACAGTCACCCTCGAAGCACCGTTACCCGTCGCTCCACAAAAGCCGCGGACCTTGCAGAGCAAGGGAAACAACTACTTCAAGGTCTCAGAGCGAGTGACGTCACCGATTGAAATGCTACTAGCGCGCACCGCTAACTAGCTAGCCATTTCACACCGGTTACAACAGCAGTACTCATTGTTGACAGTGGCATGCAGTAATGAACCAGTTAGCATTCCCATGGTGCACTGCAGCTGGAGACGGCCTGACATTTGCACCGCTGCTGAAGGCCAAATACCCAGTGGACTTATTATCGGTTAAGAGGACAGGTGCATACTGTGTGTCTGTGTCCAAGTGTGTGCGTGTGTAGCCGTTAGGGGCGTATTAAATAAGATTGGCAGCTATTAATTAGACTAATTTGGCAGGTAATTTGATACGGTTAACTGGTGTAGAGTGATAGCTGTATAAAGGTGATGGCGTGTGTTAAGCCTGGGGTGTGAGATGTTCAGACTGATTGGGTGATGGTGGGATTGTCAGGGGCTGTTAGACTGTAGTAGTTACCATGGTAATCCTCCTGACAATCAATATCAACTGTCTGTTCATTAGAGCTTCAACACTGTGGCAATGTGATTAGACCAGCAGATTAACTATGATCTCAATAGGTTGTTAGACCAGACACCAAGGGCCAGCTGCAGACTGTAACTTCAGAGATCCCTAACAACAGTTTGTGTTGCGTTGTGTTTTGAACAGGATCAGGTTTAGGATGGCTGTGGACCAGTCTCTGGGGACACAGTAACTGTTGTGTGATTGGTGGTTTGTCTGAGACACCAGAGAGAAACAAGATAAGAAGAACATACTAGAGGAACATTGGGAAATCTGGAGAACGTCCTGCTTTACACACAGAGACCATGATAACGCTAACAGAACACTAACGGAAACTTAACAGAATGCTGAGTGAGGTCATGTAGCTGCCCTCTGACCGCCCTGCATGTGACCACGCCTTCTGCGTCACCTCGGCTTTTCTGATTGTGTGGTTTGGAGAGCGACGTACTAATGGAGAAGAGTGCTGAGGAGCTGAACCTCTCATTCCTGATGGAGCATGAGCGAGAGATGATCCTCAGTGTCCTGCAGAAGGACGAGAAACTGAGGAAACTAGAGGAGAAGAGGATACGGTGAGGGCGGAATAAGTCATCATCATCATCACAGTACAATACACTACAATGATACATCTACTACTACAACTTCCTTGATGTTGATGATTATTTTTTTATCGTAATCATCATCCTTATTCGTTCCTCTACAATCACAATATGACCACAACAACTACTACAATCACAATATGACCACAACATCACAACAACTACTACAACCACAATACGACCACAACATCACAACTACAATCACAATACGACCACAACATCACAACAACTACTACAATCACAATACGACCACAACAACTACTACAATCACAATACGACCACAACATCACAACAACTACTACAATCACAATACGACTACAACAACTACTACAATCACAATACGACCACAACATCACAACTACAATCACAATATGACCACAACATCACAACAACCACTACAATCACAATACGATCACAACAACCACTACAATCACAATACGATCACAACAACTACTAAAATCACAATACGATCACAACAACTACTACAATCACAATATGACCACAACATCACAACAACTACTACAACCACAATACGACCACAACATCACAACTACAATCACAATATGACCACAACATCACAACAACCACTACAATCACAATACGATCACAACAACTACTACAATCACAATATGACCACAACAACTACTACAATCACAATACGATCACAACAACTACTACAACCACAATACGACCACAACATCACAACAACTACTACAATCACAATACGACCACAACATCACAACAACTACTACAATCACAAAACGACTACAACATCACAACAACTACTACAACCATGGTCATAACAATTAGTTACAATAACAAACATGATAAGTGTTGGGTTAAATTCAGAAGACACATTTCAGTTGAATGCATTCAGTTGTACAACTGACAAGGTATCCCCCTTTCTTCTGTTTCTCTCTGCTGTAGGAAGCTGAAGAATGAGCTGGTGGAGATCAGGCGTAAGGGTTCGCGGCGCCCCCAGGAGGTTGGGGAGCGTCAGTGCGCCCGTTGCCTGAAGGGCCTGGGCCTGATCTTCGACCGCGGGGAGCTCTGTGAGCAGTGTCTACAGCGCGTCTGCAGCGACTGTCGCGTGATGGCCCCTAAAGGAAAGCATTGGAAGTGTTCCATCTGCGCCAAGGTCTTGTGAGTCTGGGCAAAGGCATCAGGGGACAGGCCATGGTTTAGCACCACTAACAGTTGTGTGTGTGTGTGTGTGTGTGTGTGTGTGTGTCTGTGTGTGTGTGTGTGTGTGTGTGTGGTGTGTCTGTGTGCTGTGTGTGTGTCTGTGGCTGTGTGTGTGTCTGTCTGTGTGTGTGTGTGTGGCTGTGTGTGTGTGGCTGTGTGTGTGTCTGTGTGTGTGACTGTGTGTGTCTGTGTGTGTGTGTGTGTCTGTGTGTGTGACTGTGTGTGTGTGTGTGTCTGTGTGTGTGTCTGTGTGTGTAACTGTGTGTGTGGGCTGTGTGTGTGTGTCTGTGTGTGTGTGGCTGTTTGTGTGTGTCTGTATGTGTGTGGCTGTGTGTGTGTCTGTGGCTGTGTGTGTCTGTCTGTCTCTGTGTGTGTGTGTGTGTGTGTGTGTGTGGCTGTGTGTGTCTCTGTGTGTGTGTCTGTGTGTGTGTCTGTGTGTGTGTGGCTGTGTGTGTGTGTGTGTTTTAATTAACGCCAGATGGCTCCTATTTGTTGTTTAACCACTCTGCATCTGTCTTTATTTGCTCTGTCACATGGCCTTTTCAGGGCCTATTGACATGACCATAAGAGCCAGTTAAAGGCAGGGTTTAAGTTGAGAGGTCAGTGTACCGTACATGGGCCAGAGGTCAGGGGTCACCTGTGTCTCTGATTGGCAGGGAGCTGAAGGTGGTGACTGGGGAGTGGTTCCTAGAGGAGCGGTCCAAGCGGTTTGACAAGGGGACAGTGTTCAGCAGTGATGTGGTCAAACAGTCTATCATGAGCAGCCCCACAGGAAGCCCCCACAGGAAGTCCCCAGCGCCAGCCGACACACCTGAGAGGCCTGACACGCCCAAATCAGGAAGAAGCGCCGTGAGGAACCTGGTGGATGGTGCCAAGAGGAAAGGGAAAGGGTGAGATACACACACATACACACACATGCACACACATACACACACATACACACACATGCACACACATGCACACACATACACACACATACACACACATACAGTATGTAACAAACAGGTTTGGGCTGGATTACTTCAACATGTAATCAGTTGTCAATCACAGTTTGGCAATTTACAATGTAATTAAATGACACAGGAGAAGATCACTGCACAGATTTAATATAAAGAGTAATCTACTACACAGGCAAGTGGAGAGTGGGGCTTCCATCAGAGAATGGGTTTCGTATTGCATTCAAACACACACATACACACACAGCACGGGCTGATGTGTATAGTGACTAGTTGTGTTGGATCCTAGGATGTTGATGGATAAGAGGGGCAGCCGTCCCAGCCTGAAGCCAGAGAACGGGGTGGAGGGTGGGAGCGTGTGTGCTCCTGTCCCCGACCCAGACACACACAGCGTACGCAGTGCCCGGTCCGCACCACGCTCTGCTCCTCACTCACACAGGTGAGGCCAAACCACCAAACCACACCCATGCAAGTATGCAAGTAACACCCACCACAGGCACATCTCCATTGTCTCCTTCCTTGCCTTGTCTCCACGTATTTGATGTTACTGGATAGGTGAAAGGAATACCTCTGTTTTAGGCAATAACTATCACTATATATATTGGGTGTGACTAAAAGATGATCCATGACCATTGCTACTAACCCTAGCCATAATCCTAACCCTAACCCTGGCCATAACTCTAACTCTACTCCCTGGTTCATTCCTAACCCTAACCCTGGCCATAACTCTAACTCTACACCCTGGTTCAATCCTAACCCTGGCCATAACTCTAACTCTACTCCCTGGTTCAACCTAACCCTGGCCATAACTCTAACTCTACTCCCTGGTTCAATCCTAACCCTAACCCTGGCCATAACTCTAACTCTACACCCTGGTTCAATCCTAACCCTGGCCATAACTCTAACTCTACACCCTGGTTCAATCCTAACCCTGGCCATAACTCTAACTCTACACCCTGGTTCAAGCCTAACCCTGGCCATAACTCTAACTCTACTCCCTGGTTCAATCCTAACCCTGGCCATAACTCTAACTCTACACCCTGGTTCAATCCTAACCCTGGCCATAACTCTAACTCTACTGGGAGGTGGTCTCAGGTCGCTGTGAGCCGAAGGGTGCTCTGACTGGCAGCAACGCCGGGATCACCAGTATAGAGTTTGACAGTGCTGTGAGTGTCATCCTGACAAATCTAATAACCTGTCTAAAATGGCACCCTATATCATGGATCATCAACTAGATTCAGCCGTGGGATGTTTTTTTTCTTGAGCCAATGGTCAGGGGGCCGGAAAATAATTACAAATCATTTGTAAATTGCAAATTCACCGCAAGAAGGCCAAACAGATAGTATTTAACTAAAACATACGTTTGTATATGATTACATACACTACATGACCAAAAGTATGTGGACACCTGCTCGTCGAACATCTCATTCCGAAATCATGGGCATTAATATGGAGTTGGTCCCCCCTTTGCTGCTATAACAGCCTCCACTCTTCTGGGAAGGCTTTCCACTAGATGTTGGAACATTGCTGCGGGGACTTGCTTCTATTCAGCCGCAAGAGCATTAGTGAGGTCAGGCACTGATGTTGGGCGATTAGGCCTGGCTAGCAGTCGGCGTTCCAATTCATCCCAAAGGTGTACGATGGGGTTGAGGTCAGGGCTCTGTGCAGACCAGTCAAGTTCATCCACACCGATCTCGACAAACCATTTCTGTATGGACCTCGTTTTGTAAAAGGAGGCATTGTCATGCTGAAACAGGAAAGGGCCTTTCCCAAACTGTTGCCACAAAGTTGGAATCACAGAATCGTCTAGAATGTCATTATATACTGTAGCGTTAAGATTTCCCTTCACTGGAACTAAGGAGCCTAGTCCGAACCATGAAAACAGCCCCAGACCATTATTCCTCCTCCACCAAACTTTAGTTGGCACTATGTATTCGGACAGTTGCGTTCTCCTGGCGTCCGCCAAACCCAGATTCGTCCATCGGACTGCCAGATGGTGGAGTGTGATTCATCACTCCAGACAACGCGTTTCCACTGTTCAAGAGTCCGATGGCAGCAAGATTTACACCACTCCAGCCGACGCTTGGCATTGTGCATGGTGAACTTAGGCTAGTGTGCGGCTGCTCGGCCATGGAAACCCTTTTCATGAAGCTCAGACGAACAGTTATTTTAATGACGTTGCTTCCAGTTTTAGCACTCGGCAGTCCCATTCTGTGAGCTTGTGTGGACTAACACTTTGCGGCTGAGCTGTTGTCGCTCCTAGACGTTTCCACTTCACAATAACAGCACATACAGTTGACCAGGGCAGCTCTAGCAGTGCAGAAATTTGACAAACTGACTTGTTGGAAAGATGGCATCCTATGACGGTGCCACGTTGAAAGTCGCTGAGCTCTTCAGTAAGGCCATTCTACTGCCACTGTTTGTCTATGGAGATTGCATGGCTGTTTGCTTGATTTTATACACCTGTCAGCAATTGGTGTGGCTGAAATAGCTGAATCCACTCATTTGAAGGGGTGTCCACATACTTTTGTATATACACTGCATTCGGAAAGTGTTCAGACCCCTTGACTTTTTCCACATTTTGTTACGTTACAGCCTTATTCTAAAATGTATTAAATTATATTTTTCCCTCAATCTACACACAGTACCCCATAATGACAAAGTGGAAACAGGTTTTTTGCAAATGTATTAAAAATAACAAAACAGATCTTATTTACGTAAGTATTCAGACCCTTTGCTATGAGACTCAAAATTGAGCTCAGGTGTATTCTGTTTCCATTGATCATCCTTGAGATATTTCTACAACTTGATTGGTTCCACCTGTGGTATATTCAATTGATTGGAAAGATATACACCTGTCTATGTCAGGTCCCACAGTTGACAGTGCGTGTCAAAGCAAAAAGCAAGCCATGAGGTCGACGGAATTGTCCGTAGAGCTCCGAGACAGGATTGTGTCGAGGCACAGGTCTGGGGAAGGGTACAAAAAAAAATGTCTGCAGCATTGAAGGTCCCCAAGAACACAGTGGCCTCCATCATTCTTAAATGGAAGAAGTTTGGAAACACCAAGACTCTTCCTTGAGCTTTACGCCCGGCCAAACTGAGCAGTCGGGAGAGAAGGTCCTTGGTCAGGTAGGTGACCAAGAACCCGATGGTCACTCTGACAGACCTCCAGAGTTCCTCTGTGGTGATGGGAGAACCTTCCAGAAGGAGAACCATCTCTGCAGCACTACCAATCAGGCCTTTATGGTATTTGTGGTCCTCTGTAGCTCAGCTGGTAGGGCACGGCGCTTGTAACGCCAAGGTAGTGGGTTCGATCCCCGGGACCACCCATACACAAAAAAATGTATGCACGCATGACTGTAAGTCGCTTTGGATAAAAGCGTCTGCTAAATGGCATATTATATTTGCCAGATGGAATCCACTCTTCAGTGAAAGGCACATGACAGCCCGCTTGGAGTTTGCCAAAAGGCACCTAAAGGACTCTCAAACCATGAGAAACAAGATCCTCTGGTCTGATGAAACCAAGGTTGAACTCTTTGGCCTGAATGCCAAGCATCACGTCTGGAGGAAACCTGGCACCATCCTTACGGTGAAGAGTGGTGGCAGCATGCTGTGGGGATGTTTTTCAGCGGCAGGGACTGGGAGACTAGTCAGGATCAAGGGAAGCTGAACGGAGCAAAGTACAGAGAGATCCTTGATGAAAACCTGCTCCAGAGCGCTCAGGACCTCAGACTGGGGCGAAGGTTCACCTTCCAACAGGACAATGACCCTAAGCACACAGCCAAGACAACGCACAAGTGGCTTCGGGACAAGTCTCTGAATGTCCTTAAGTGGCCCAGCCAGAGCCCAGACTTGAACCTGGTCGAACATCTCTGGAGAGACCTGAAAATAGTTGTGCAGCGACGCTCCCCATTCAACCTGACAGAGCTTGAGAGGATCTGCAGAGAAGAATGGGAGAAACTCCCCAAATACAGGTGTGCCAAGCTTGTACCATCATACCCAAGAAGAGTTGAGGCTTTAATTGCTGCCAAAGTTGCTTCAACAAAGTACTGAGTGAAGGGGCTGATTACTTGTGTAAATGAGATTTTATTTACATGAGGTATTGTGTGTAGATTGAGTTTTTTTATTTTTATAATGCTGTAACATAACAAAATGGGAAAGCGTCAAGGGGTCTGAATGCTTTCCAAATGCACAGTGTATATTTCACTATTAAATCCCTTGGTCATGTCCAACAATAAAGAAAATAAACGGGGCTCTTCCCTGTAAAGTAAAGCGGACTATATAGGAAATGGGCTGCCATTTCAGACAAACCCTAATTTCCCCTGTTAAGGTCACAGGCAATCTCTGCCTTCTGCTTTGCTACATTTAAAAAACATTTTAGTCATTTAGCAGACGCTCTTATCCAGAGCGACTTACAGTTAGTGAGTGCATACATTTTCATACTCGAACCCACAACCCTGGCGTTGCAAGCGCCATGCTCTACCAACTGAGCTACACAGAGCTACATCTGCTGCAGAGGATAAGTTCGTTAGAGTTACCACCCTCAGAAATTGCAGGCCAAATAAGTGCTTCACAGAGTTCAAGTAACAGACACATCTCAACATCAACTGCTCAGAGGAGACTGCGTGAATCAGGTCTTCGTGGTCGAATTGCTGCAAAAAAACACTACTAAAGGACACCAATGAGAAGAAGAGACTTGCTTGGTCCAAGAAACACGAGCAATGGATGTTAGACCGGTGGAAATCTGTCTGGAGTCCAAATTTGAGATGTTTGGTTCCAACCGCCGTGTCTTTCTGAGACTCAGAGTAGGTGAACGGATGATTTCCGCATGTGTGGTTCCCACCGTGAAGCATGGAGGAGGAGAAGTGATGGTGTGGGGGTGCTTTGCTGGTGACACTGTCTGTGATTTATTTAGAATTCAATGCACACTTAACCAGCATGGCTACCACAGCATTCTGCGCCGATACACCATCCCATCTGGTTTGGGCTTAGTGGGACTACCATTTGTTTTTCAACAGGACAATGACCCAAAACACACCTCCAGGCTATTTGACCAAGAAGGAGAGTGATGGAGTGCTGCATCAGATGACCTGGCCTCCCACAATCACCTGACCTCAACTCAATTGAGATGGTTTGGGATGAGTTGGACTGCAGAGTGAAGGAAAAGCAGCCAACAAGTGCTCAGCATACACGGGAACTCCTTCAAGACTGTTGGAAAATCATTCCTCATGAAGCTGGTTGAGAGAATGCCAAGAGTGTGCAAAGCTGTCATCAAAGCAAAGGGTGGCTACTTTGAAAATTGTAAAATATATTTTGATTTGTTTAATACTTTCTTGGTTACTACATGATTCCATATGTGGTATTTCATAGTTTTGATGTCTTCACTGTAAGTCGCTCTGGATAAGAGCGTCTGCTAAATGACTAAAATATAAAAATATATATA